TCTCATTCAGAAGTAGCTTGGGGGAGGATGTACACAGACCTGACCTCTACCTCTACCTCAAAGAGTAGAGCGACTGTGTCTGTGAGATTCTACAGATACTCACTTATAAGTGTCTTGTTTGTTGTCGATACCTTAAATGATTCCAATATCTGTTTTTTTTTACTTTTTCACTTTAAATTTTATTTTCAGCCGAGTGAGCTTAATACATATGCAGACATAGAGGCAGTATATGAGTGTCTTGAGACTGAGTATGGGATCAGCCAGGAAGACTTGATTCTCTACGGGCAGTCGGTTGGAAGTGGGCCCACGCTGCACTTGGCTACTAGATTGCCGAGGTTAAGAGGTGTAGTTCTACACAGTGCAATTTTATCTGGCCTTCGTGTCGTCTGTCATGTGAACTGCAGATTTTGCTTCGATATTTACAAGGTGAATACAACAGTCCATCTAACTCGTTTTTATTCATTTTGAGGTTTCGATTGTTTAGTTTGCTTTCTAATTGAAGCATTGGTTTCTTTTCCTATGAACTTAAAAGTGAGTAAAGTTTAAACCTCTATCTACTTGGTGTTTTCAAAATCTTGTATGAATTCTTCCATGTCATTATGTGCATATCTTAAGTTTTACAGAATTGAAAACTGAACTCATGTTTTTCCATGAATTGTTTCTGCTCGATCAACCTACTAACAATTTTGATATCTGCAGAATGTTAACAAAATTCGGAAGGTGAAATGCCCAACGCTCGTGATACATGTAAGTTCACCCCCCGTATATTAAAGAAACTATGCTCAAAATTTCCATCTCTACGTTTGTACCTTAAAGTTTTTGTTCCGAATTACATGTTAGTGATTTGGGTTTTGTTGGTGTCCAATCGGCGCCAAAAGTATTGTATGATCCCTTTGCATACTTATTTGGAATTGAAGACAGACTACTGTGATCACCAAACACATTCTCATCTTAATATGTGCCTAAGCAACTTTCGCATATGCGATTACATAGTATATGCTTACCTGAGGGGAATGACAAGACCAAATGTGGCACAATCTGTTGGTGTCATTTATGGGTATATGTCCAAACCTAGTAAGGCGTATTGGGAGGTCGTGAAGGCCATTTTGAGGTACTTGAAGGGAGTTACGGATGAGGGGCATGTATTTGGTGGCAACAAAGCGGAGTACAATTTGATGTTAAGTGTTAATTCAACCCAAGGGTATGTTTTCAACTTGTGTTGGACTTCCATTAGCCTACAAGCGAGGTTCAATCCATTGTGTCCTTGTGACTACTAAAGCGGAATTGTTCGTAATGGTAGAAGCGACGAAAGAATAGGTGTACTTGAAACTGTTGTATGACTTTGGTTTCGTCCAAGATTTGGTGGTAGTGAATTGTAATAGCGAAAGCGCAATTCATCTTGTCAAGAACCTGATGTTCCACTCAAGGGCTAAACACATGTGCGTCAGGGAGTCTTTTCTCATGGCCATGCACGAGGAAAAGCTCATTTCATTGAAGAAGATTCACATGGATGATAACACAGTGGATATGTTCACCAAGTTGTTGAGCGCTGCGAAGTCCAAGCATTGCTCGAAGATCATCCGTTTGCTCAAGTGTTGAAGCCAAATAGCGTTGGGAGGGAGAGACGGGTTGTTGTGTGTGTGTGCTTGTATGACATTTTCATTATTGATAGAAGTGTAGGCAGATGATGGCCATGTCGAAGCTTGTTGGCACCCGAGTCATCAGTTGTCTGCCTTTTGGGAGGATCGGTATTTTATTCGTGTTGATGGTCATTTATTTGGTGTTTTAACCTTGGTATCAAGGTGGAATATTATTTTCATTATGATACTAAGGGGCCGTTTACCGAACGCTTACCCGAGTGAGCGCTTACCAAGACACGTTACTTTACCGGATGAATATCGCAAGGACGAAAACTCTTACCTGGTAAGAGCGAAAGCAAGGATGAGAGTCTTACTCGGTAAGTGAGGGTGACGACTTTTACCACGGTTATCACATATTGGGTAAATTGTTGCATACGGTACCATTTTGTGGACTGGAATCTAACCCAATAAGTAAGTGATAGTGTTGAATTTTACCGGTAAGCGCTTACCTGGGTAAGCGTTTGGTAAACGACCCCTAAGCCAAATAGGGAGCTCGTGAGAATTTGGGAGCGACATTAAATACCTTGGGATCTGGTGTTAATTTATGGTGCAACCTAAGGTCACGTTGGCCGACTCCGTTTTTGGTTGTCCCATGATGCTAATTTGGGACCGAACAAATTAGTCGGGCAACAAACCCATACGAGTGGATTTCTAGGGCTTGTTCTTTTGTCTTGACTTAGCTTCCTCGTTGATGAATATTGCTGCTTTTGGTGAGATTTACGTGTGGATTTGGATTATTGGAAAGGTAAAATCACACCAATAATGGAACCATGTTAAATCTTTGTATTCATTACTTTTTATGCGGCATTTACGTTGATAGGTTGCCGTGTTGTGCATTATCATTTGTTTGAGACATTCAATACATTTGGTATGCATTAATGTTTGTATGTCTTATTATGTGTGCTTGGAGTTTGGATTGACGAGATTTCTCGATGTAAAAAATGGCAGGGTACCGAGGATGATGTCGTGAATTGGCTACACGGCAACGGACTATGGAAGATGGCCCAGGACCCGTACGAACCCTTATGGATCAAAGGAGGTGGCCACTGCAACTTAGAACTCTATCCTGACTACATTCGACATTTATACAAATTCATCTGCGAAATGGAAACCATGACCACCAAAACCCGACTTGCAAAGATCAAACCGAAGCTCCGGTTACCAGACAGGCCGTCAACCGCAGGTTGTTCTTATTGTTGTATAAAACCAAGCTGCCCAGAATGTCCAAAACCATGGTGCCCAGAATGTTTTGGATGCCCGAATTGTTTGCAACCTACTGGCTGCTGCTGCTGTCTGAACTGGAACTATTGCTGTTGCTGGAGGCCTAAACCGAAATGCCCAGATGTGAAATTACTTAAATGCCCTTCGTGTTTGCAATGTGGATGCTTTACGTGTATACGGAAGTGTGTGCAGTGTTCGTGCTGGTGATATATAGGTTTGTTTTGGGCGTCGGGTGGGGTATACATGTTAGAGAGGTTATCATTAAGCGTAAGTTAACCGTTTGTATAGATTTTCTGCGACTCGTGCCTGCAAATGGCGAAACAATAGGAGATTTAGATTTAGAAGTTGGATGATAACTTGTTTTTTTTAATCCTTTCAAGAACATCTTTCGACATGATTCGCCTACTAAACATGTTTCTAATTCTATCATTTGGGATATCCATGTTCTTGGATAAATGGTTTATGCATCAAGTGGATCTTTAATCCATGAAAGTCTTATTTACCAAAATTTGAAATGTAACCGGATGGACTGGTTGGGTCGATTGGACCATTACTTGATAAAGAAAACGAGTCGCTTTTTCTTTTTCTTTTAGAAAACGTTTGGTACACATAATGAAATCTGTTAAAGAAATTGAATTTGTAGGAACTAGTTCGCCCTTGAGTTCTTTTTGATAGGAAATGAAATTGAATGTGTCAAAAGAATTAAAATTTGTATGTTTAGTACGTTGAATATAGCTTCGGAATTGTAATAAAATAATGATAAATAATCAAAATACCTTTTATGACATTTACTATTTTATTGCTTACAAGTATAGGCGAAGGATCGTGTGAGAAGGAAAGTTAAGTTGAGAAGCGTAAGAAGGGATTCGGACCATTTGTCACCTTTAATCTTAAGCCCACCCATAGATCTTGCTTGATACCATGATTGATCCGGTGCATCTCATCCTAATGTGCATCCAAGGACGGAAATCCCTTGTTACGCTTCTCAACTTAACTCTACTTCGCACCAGAACCCAACCCTACAAATATAAATATCATGATAAAATTGATAATATTATTAGTTTGTGATGATAGTGAGGGGGTCGACAGTGGCGGCCGCAATGTTGGGGGTTGGGGTGGAGGCGAAATTTGGTGACCAACTACCATCAGCCCTGGTATTACTGAATTCAAATTGGCTGGCTTTTCTTGCAAACATTATTATTCAGTTTCTAGTATTTTAGCAGAAGGTTGATTACAGCAACCTCAAACAGCCCACACGAACCCGTCCCCTTGAACCACACGTCAGTAGGCATTTCAGAGTTGATTCAATGGCTGGGGTAGCAAAGTGTTCAAACCCGTCTCCCTTGTGAATAAATGTAAAATCAACTATCTTTTAGACATATGATTATCAGCATCTGAATATTGACTTGCACTCAGCACTTTAAGAATGCACTTCCAAATACCTGGTTTATTGAAAGATTATTCGGCCTTGCGATTAAACTTTGATTTATGTCAAAAACAGCCCAATCCCATCTCTTTGTTGCCCAAATCAATCTAGCCTAGGCTACCACCAAGAGACTAGGGGAGGGAGGGAGGGAGGGGGGTAATCAAGGAATGAAGAGGCATAAATTCAATATCTGAATGAAGTTCCATTGTTGAGAAGAAAATTTGTAACATTCTTGATACCAAGTTCAAAACCATATCTGGTTATACCTAACAAGCTTTCAGCAACTTCTATTCTACCAACAATCCCAAAAGTTCCTGTAATCAATCTTCTTGAATCAACCAATCAGCTCCTTTTAGGTTGAATGAACTATCATCAAAGACTAAAGTTTTCTACTTGATTGAAGCATTCTGAGTCCTTTTTTGGGTAGCCAACTTATGCTTCATTGTTTCTGCATGCTTATTTAGAAGACCCCCTGAAACTTGTAGAATCTAAACATCTTAATTGACAAGAAACTAAACAGAAGCATGCGAAATCATATGACAACTAGTACATGAGAAAGAAACAAGGTTACCATTATGCCGAACATGATAAAACATCATATCTCTGGACTCCATAATAATGAGCAAATGATTAAAAGCAAACTACATTCTTAAACTCTGATGAAATTTTTCATGAGGCACTTGACTTGCTGATTGTGTTTTCGTGCTTCAATGAAAAGAATTCTTTAATATAAGGTTGCTATTAAGATTTTTGGGCCTCTTGTTTTTTGATATTTTGTCTCCATGGTTGTTTAAGAGATTTTCTTGGAAACTCATGCTTAAAGGAGTGAAATATATTGCCACTTGCTAATTGATGCACATCCTATGATGAATTCTATAAAAAAAGTCAATAATGGACTTTAACTATTTGGACAATTTCAACTGATATTATTTAAGCGATTTTTGTTGCATGGGTCCTCTTTTAAAAGCCTTGTTGTACAACATATGACACATGCCCTCAAGATTGTGCATAGTTTCTTCTATGTTAGGAATTTCATGTATTATTCTCAAGAAGGATGAATTTCTTTGCTAAGTGAGCCGGTCCTTTCTGTGAAGAGCAATGGCTTCTTACTAAAACAATTTGAAGAAAAAAAAATACAAGATAATGATAAAAGAAACTGAAAAATGATGCTCTAAAAAAAGCTTGAATCTTTCCTGAAATCTAATTCTACTATTAGCAATATTACGAGTCTACAAAAAAATTTTACACCCAAGTACGGTATCTCTAGTAATCTTTCCTAACAGGTGTTGTGTGGGAGCATATGAGGCTAAAGAGACAAGTAGATTCCACGTTAATAGAAACTAAGAGATTGATGGTTTTACCTGGTCGTGATATAAGGTGAATACGAGAGCGAGGTCCTTCAAACATCCAGCTATCTTCATCCAACATTCTAACTTCCTTGTTTAGTGTAGCCATCAAATCAGATTTCAGAGCTGCATGCAACAATTAAATCAACTTCTATCAGCACATTGATTCTTCTTAAAAACTCCTATTGCAAAATATGGGACTATTTTACAATAAAGAAACTGGAAATTAGTACAAATTTCATTGTTTGCAACTATAAATTATATGTATACATGTGGGAAGTATAAGAAATAATAGTTGAGGCATCTCAAACGATGAATGAAGCTAAAAGAAACGGCATCCTACGCATAACCATAGGATCCGCTACAAATTGGATGCACAAGTAATAGCCCTACAAAAAGAGTATTTTTGTAAGAACGTTTTATAACACCTTACTATACAATCCATTATACATAAGTTTGTTCTAACTTTAACTTTGAATGTCAACCAAACTATTATTAATTACAAAATTGATAAGTATATCATGAGTAGACCTATGAAGCCAAGGGGCAATGCATGCGGATACCCCAAAAAAATTGATAGTGTTTTGTAATGTGAAAAAGTGTTACAGTTTACCACACCCAATATATATCAAGAACAAATCAACAATTCAACAAACACACCAAAATGCAAGTGACATAAGTAGAATAAACAGAGTTAAAAATGTAAAAAGAACATATAATAATATTTATAAAATTGCCATATGAAATACAAAGCTTCACAATAAAAGTAACAGTGATAATAACATTTGGAGAATTGCATTTGCATCTGACATTACTACTGCTCCCTCCCTATAATAGTTCTCCTGCTTTGACAAGCAAAATTACTACTGATTTTCCATAACTTCAACATCAATAGTTTTAGTAATTAAAATTCAAGAGGAATTTCATATCCTTCTAATTATGCACCTACAAACCCTCTTAGATTGATAATTGAAGTAAACGTAAAGGTGTTTTAGACATCTCAAAAGGGTCTTATGACATTTAAGCTAGGTCAAGTGTGAGGAACTTCTTTTTTATTTTGAGATATAAATTAATCAGTTCCAAAACAGCAACTTCTCCATATCAACCCTAGTACTACCGAATTCAAAATTGACTGGGCTTTTCTTGCAAACAATATCATTCAGTTTCTAGCAGTTGTTATGGATTTATGGTTATGCTAAGCATGCCAACATTTATCCAGAAGTATAAACTCCGTTTTGTGTTTGAAGTTTAAAATCAGTCATATCGACCTCTCAAGTCAAAATTTAAACCCCACGAGGCCCCGAGTATAAATCATGATTGAAACCTAGAAATCTAAAAGCAAATTAGAAGTGACTCAGATGGATAATTTTCATAAAATTTAACCAGTATCATCTCGTGAAATAATTTATTGACAAAATTAGAGATTTTGAACCTCGAAGAGCCTCATCTTTCCGATCTTGGATAGTAATGAGATCGGTTGAAAAATGAACCTCATCGACGGCTAGTGATGAAGACATGGCGTTCGATCCTACTATCGCCGTCGTCGATATCGACGACCTCGCCGGTGATGATGTCAGTGAACTGTTGCTCATCGTCTCCGTTCTCGATTTCAAACGAACAGAACAGGGAACAATTCAACTGAATTTTTGAGACATTGCAGATATTTTAGATCTTGACCCTCAACTTTAAAATATTACAATACCGCCCCCAATCTTTCTAGTTTAACAAGCATCTTTGAAAGTTGGCATCGAGAGCATCTACAACTAGGGGTGAGGATCTACCACATTTCTACTTCTCGAAACACACTCGATCCTAATGGTGCGTTTGGTACACTGGACATGTCATTATAGAATAGGACAAAGATCCCTGTTTTATATTTGTCATGACTTTTGTATGAAACAGACAAGATTAAAGTGGAACATGCTTATTTCACCCCTACCTCATGGAACGGGGTGGAACAAGGTGGAACAAACTTATATTTTACTAGCATAACCTCAAAATAAAACTTAATTCTCTTCTAAACATCAAATAGGTCTATTTTTTACATTTTATTCATTCTTAAAATTTTATTTATTGTATTTTATGTTTCTTAAACTTTCATTTTAATGTCTTAAAAATATTATTTTTATACGGTTTTTATATTTTTATTAATTTATGTAATTTATTATATATTAACAATAAAAAATAATGTAGAAAAGAGATAAAAGTAAAAATTGTAAACTACATAAACTTTTTATTTGGTGTCATTTTTAATTGTTTTGACAAAAATTTTAAAATGATATATTTTGTTATAAAAAATAACTATTCTATTATAATTTAATAAATTACATAATTTAATTAAAATAAACAACTTATCAGAGGTAAATTGGTCATTTTACTTGTTCTGTTTTGTTCTGTTTTATCTTACCAAACGTTGAACAGTTGTTCTGTCGTATCATGTTCTGTTTTATTTTGTCCTATTCATGTTTGGACACTGAACACAACCTAAAGGATGGATGGGTCTGCAATAATTGGCAACATTTCATATTCCAAATTTTGTATTATCATCTTCGTATTTTTGTGATGTTTTTCTAACAGCTTACCATCCACTACAATGATTTCTAATGGTTTTCTATTTGCCACGTAGGATTTCTGGTTAAGAAATTGTGTTGGTTGTGAATATAATTTTTTAATAGGAAATTGGTTTTTGATAATTGTTGATGTTAAATCGATACTTTTTGTTGATGTAACAGTGAATAATATTAGAAATTGTGGGTTATAAATTCTTAATAAGAAATTGTTTTATGTCACATCATGTTTTTTTAATGATGAAGTATGTTTATTAAAAAAATGTATGAATAATTTATTGAATGAGATTTTGGTTATAAAAAATACAAATAGTTTGGTTGTTAATTAATATTCGTATAATTTATTTATTTATTAAATTATATATTTAACATTATATTCGATTTTATTATAAATTTAAAATAAATATATTAAACAAATATTAAAATAGGCAAAATATAATTCATATATAATACAATAAAACAAATTACATCATGCTTGGGGTATTCAAATAACGTTTTGCTATTATTTGTGGTCATCTTGTATGTGGTGCAAAGAGAAATTGGAGAAATAATGGGAGCATGCATAATCTTGCACAACATGATTGTCAAAGATGAATGTCATGTTTATATCTGTCAATTTGATGATATAGACAATGATGTTAATTTCACTATAATTATGTCTCAAATCTCTCATAGCATATTTCTTGAGTGCTAAAATTATCTTCAAAATCAAATACAAGTACGTAATAAGTCAAACAGATCACTGTTTTTGTTTTTTATTAAATTAAATTAAATATATGTAAATAGATTAAAATTAAACGAAATGTTGTAATTTTTTTTATGTATAATTATAAACATTATTTATTGAATCAAAAACATTTTATAAATAAAATTAAATATTTTATTTTAATTTATTTATTTTTTATTTTACGAAAAAAGTTCAAAAAAACCTAACAAAATTTTCCATTTTGAATGAAAAAATTATTAAACTTTTTCATTTTGAAAATTAATATTTTGAATGAAAAAACCATTGCAACCTTTCATTTTGATTGATTAAGTTCCTGAACTCATCAAAAAAATAGTTTAGAAACTTGATCATGCAAAATGAGAAAACTTAGTGATTTTTTTATTCAAAAAAATAATTTAGAAACTAAATCATTCAAAATGAGAAAGTTTGTTGGATTTTTTTGAATTTTCTCCTACTGTATTATAATTATTTAATTAATTGAATTGTAGTGGATACTTCTAGTAGTAAAATTCATATTATTTGAACTTCTACAAAGACACATTTAGGTAGATGAAGCCTTAAGAACCAATTATATCGATCCATATCAAATTTACATTTTGGCTAGAGACTCGGTTATGCCCGTAGCCAATTATGTGGTGGTGTTCTTTTGACAGGTATCGGTTAAGAGACCGGTTATAATAGGGCACACCTAGATCGATCGGATTAAGCTTTTAATGAAAATATTTGCTGAATAATTATTAGCATTGACTAGCTTTGGTGGAAATCAATTTGGTCCTTAACCGGCTTAAGGCTCGAAAAATAAGGATCGTTTTAAGCTTGAAGGACCACCCAAACCCATATTCGGTCCTTGAAGGAATAGTCCATCAAGGTCAGATCCTTGAACCAAGCTCGGTTCGGTTTCATCCTTTTAGTCCATACCTATCTAGAAATGCAACAATTGTTGCCCCTAAACATCAAGTGATGTAAAATCAAGGCAAACAACCTAACTAATGCGGTTAGCAAAATCTCAATCCGCTAGAAAACTTAAAATGCCGACATAATTGCAGCACTATAATAGCATAAACAGCAGTTAGCTACTACTGCCAGTTAATAGACCTCCCTGCTACTACCCGGTCGGGTAACATTCTTGGCCAGTTGGCCATCAAAATGGATTGTTGATAAGTGTCTCTTACCCAGTAATAAGCACTAACCAGGTAAGAGTCTTTTCACTTGCTAGCCGAATAAGATTTGGTCCTTGCTATTGTCTCTTACCGGGTACAAGTCTCAGTCCTTGTCATGCTCATCCGGTAAGGTAAGCGACATTCAGTAAGTGCTTAGCAAGTAAACGTTTGGTAATTTGCCCTTTACTCTAAACTGATGACAGAGCACCAATTTTCTGGGCATGAAGACTCAAATCTTAAAGTGTCTTTCATTTGATCAAGGCTCTATCAAAGGCTAAACTATAAGTACTGAAGAATAATAAATCATATTTTAGAAACAACTCCCATTCATCCATTTCATATTTTCAGCAGTGAATAACAAGAGTTCTCTTAACTTGTAAAACTGTTCTTTTCTTCTTTTGATTAGGAAAGATATAATGCAAAACAAGGCCTAGGTTGCACAATCTAGTATAAGCTTGCCATGGAAGACTATTCTATTAATAACCAGCTTTACCATCAAACACATTTGTACATAATTTTGAAATATACTTAACCTTCTTTCGTCTCCGAGGACAGTTGGCCCATTTGTTGTGTCAGTTGCTGCACCTCACCCTTCGGACTACTCCCATTTTCCAACGATGAGATCCCTACACTTCCCCCCTCCTGCTGCTGCTGCATCATATGCTCATCCATCGGGCCACACTCCATTTCGACCTCTGGGTTTGGCTCAAGAAACTGCTCCCATGATGGATCGTTTGCGGCAAAATACTTCTCAATCTCAATCAACAAATTGCTATCCCATTCTACATCACCACCAGGAGACAAATTCCCAATTTCCAAAGGGAACTTGCCATTCTCTGTTTCGGGATGCATGTAACTATCTGCCACCATATCTTGCAGGTTTGACAGCACGGATATATCAGGCAATTCTTGACCATCGGCTAGTGAGCTTGTATCTGGAAACTGCTTTGTTGTAACCACGTCAGAATTTGCTTCAAGTGGTGCGGCTTGCACCCCTGTGACTGCCGGTAAATAGAACTGGCCGGAGGTTGGTGGTAGGACCTCCTGAATGGTAACTCCTGAGCCATTATGGCCTCCTGAAGGAACATTGCTACTGTTGTTCAAAATTTCTGATGGCGGTGAGACGATATCCAGTTTTATGATCTGCCTCAGCATTGCTTTTGCTGAATCATTCATCATTGGTTGGTATTTGACAATTTGTCCATCAGAAGAATCACTAGATGACGAATGGCCATTTGGAACAACTCTATCTTGTTTAAGCCTGCGTTTTTTGCTCCCTTCTGTTATGAGCTTGGTGCTCTCGCTTTGCTGCTGCACAAACTGCGCCAAAAATCCGGGACTATTCACGGCCTTGGCTAAGAACGACATCATTTGTTGCTGCCTTTGTTCCATCCCCTGAAGRCGCTGCACCATTGATTGCATTTGATTATCGGTGGACTGTTGTTGCTGCCTCAGCCTGACAAGCTCTTGCATCAGCACATTTTTGTCCCTTTTTAGCCTCTCGACCTCCTCCTCCAGACCAAATTTTCCAACTTCAACACATGCACCTGCTGAAGGGCTCTGTCCAGGCGGTTGTTGTAGCTGTTGATTGTGTCCTGAGGCTGGTTTTCGGCGAACAATGCTTTTAAGCAGGTGCTTCTGACCTCGCAAGAATCCCTCATTTGCAAATTCCCAGCGATCAGGATCTACTTTCCTAAATCCCTGTTTGTTCACCATGAAAACCAAATTATAAGATGGATCATATCAGAAGATACTTTGATCACCAGTTAGGCTGTTACTAAGAGGGATACGAGCTACCATCTAGAAATGGGGCTTTACCATAGTTGCAAAGGAGTCATCTAATTCAATCTAGCAGAGCTCACACTATTTCTACCAGAAGCTCAATCTCACAAGGAGGAGCTTAACATAATTCAGACTTATTGGGCTTCTCGAGACCTGACAGGTTATCAGGTTACTATTTCACATACCGATAAACTCTTCTACGTGTTTTAGTGGGTGTTCTTCATTATGGATTATTGATTCAGTTGCTTAATATCACATGACTGAGAAAAATCTACAGCAATGTTGTTAAAAGATATGAGTTAGGGTTTCATGATATTCGTTTGTTCAAGCCATGGGTCCATTATATATACATGTACATGTTCAAGAATCTTGCCTATGATGATGCAACATTTTTTGGACCCTAACTTTTAAGCCATTTCAGAGCTTTAGGTTAGAACATAATACAAGCATGTAACAATTTGGCTTCAAATTTCCAAGAACAGTGCTCCACTGGAATATATACGGAGTTTGAATCTTTATCCATTTGTGAGTTCGTAAGTTATCCCTTACGTGTTTAAGTTTGGCATGTTTCACAGCTTCTATCTCTATCTATTACTGGGCATGACCATGATTTTGCAGACCTCCAGAAACTCCACTAGCTTGTTCAAAAGACTCCTACAACCTTCATCATCACCATTGTAGCCTAGACAGACCTCCATGACTAACGGAGCCTCAAACCACTTGTTCAACCCATGTCAAAGCATCTTAGAGCTTCAACAGCCTGCCCAACCTGTGTCATGTTTTCATCCCTTGTTGTGCACCTACAGCAACCTCTCAACCCTGTTCAACCTCATCGAAGAATGTATGAGTTTCTTTAAAGTTTTTTAAGGCTAGATCTATGATTTCTGGAAGTTATATAGTGCTTTGTCAAAATCCAAAAAGTCCATGGCGAATTCTACAAATTACAAACGTCAAAGTAAATTGTCTAAATTTAAGGAAATTTTATGAATTGCTTGAAGTTCAGAGACTGGTAGTTTTACCCTACAATCTGTTCTTCTCACTCTTCACCTGATCTTTTTCAGGTACTTTCTTCATTGAGTTGTTCTTCTCACCCTCACCGTATCTATTCCAGGTACTTCCTTAATCGAGTTGTTCTTCTCACTCTTCACCCAATCTATATATGTTCACATCAAAGCCACATGTTAGCAACAATGTCCAGCCATACAATTATGTTGATCTTATTGCTGTCTGCCTTGTCTATCAGAATGTAATGTCCTTGTGGGTAATTCTAGAGTTGTCTCATGTTTCAAGCTTCGTACCAAGTTGCAAGTGAGGGAATGATGATATTATTAGTACAACATCCAATATTAAACATGTTGAGATTGTCAAAACATATCTTACCTTGCAGGTTGAGGTTCTTTTGACTCACATTCAGACCTACTTCATTTCAACTCTGACCTGATAGCAAGAATGTTTTTTTGCAATGGCATTCATTAGGACAAGTTCTATAGGACCAGCCTTTAGAATCTGTCGGAATTTCATTCTGGAATTTCTCTAAAAACAGGAGTCTAATCCAGCTTATTATCCATCATGGGAAATTGCTAATTTCCTCCCCTTAGTTTTTATTTCTTTCAGTGTGTTTTCTAGTTGCAGTTTTCTAGGTAATTTTCTCTGCTTATCAAGTTGGCAAAAATTGATATATTCTCAACCTTGAGGAGTGTTAAGGTACTCCAAATAAAAACATAAAAAAATTTGCTCTATATAGCATGAAAAGATTTGAAAGTTCACTCTATAATCTAGTCTACAAATCTGAACCGAATAAGAAATAAGACAACTACTGCAAAAGATACACAGAGTTGTGCATTCCTATAATTACTGAATCATTAAAAACTTATTAACCTAAAATACTAGAAACATAAATCCCTGTTATTCCTACCATATAATTATATACAATTTGGTCTCTAACTATTGATACATAATTTTAGAATCTTAATATGCAGGAATTGGCAGAAATGTTTGAAGTTTCATATAAAACATATAAGTTAGCAGTCTTCAAATCTTCTCAAATCGTCAAGATGGCCTTTAAAACAGTAACACTAAAAAGATATCTTACAATTACATTAAAGTTATACTTCAGATACCATCGATCAAAACAAATATGATTAATACATGACATCTAGACCTCATTATGGTTCTAGTCTTCTAGATATGTAATGTGCCCCATAATCACCAAGAGATCAACCGCTCACAAGCAATGAATTTAAGAAATAAAGCATACTCATACGCTTAGTTCCAGCTAGAGCATGGTGATATTTGGGCAAAGTCTCACCACCCTTTGCCAACTGAGCTACACACCAGAGGCTAGAGCATGTGATATTGTCCCTCTAGTGAACTCACAAGTTAAAGCAGCAGTAAGAATACATGGACTCATAGTCTACTGGAATTCTCTTTTAAGTACATGAAGAAACATGCGACTGTGTAATGGACTAATCTAATTTGAAGTTATATACATGATCAGACTAACATATTTTGATGGAGTTTAGAAACTTCTGCCATTATCAATGCAAAGAAGATCGCATAAACACACTATGGACTGGTATCATCTTTCTATCATAATAAGAGCATCATAATATTTGTTGCCATAAAGCATTTAAATTGTTAGGTACCAAATATGTGGTGTCATAAGAAATGCAAAGTTGCTGAATGATTGTTGGCTTGTTGCACCAATGCATCTAATGTGCTTACAAGCCATGTACAAAACAAGTGAAGGATAATATGTAGAACAAAGTTACTATATTCATCCATTTGCTATAAAAATGCACAATTGTGAACGATTTTACTCCCTTTCCTTTCTCTCATTCATCTAACTTCATGGATCTCCCCATCCAATATATAAAAGTCTCATCACTGTATACACGGGCTAGATCCAACTTAGAACACTTCCTTTCCTCGTTGTCACGGGATTGAAAATGTCAAGGTGAATCAAGGATATTACAGATAGTTAAATATACTTGGATGGCAAACAATACAAAAGAAAGTACAGAACCCACAATAAACTTATGATCAACATTCACTACACAAGCTATGTTATTCTGAAATGCATGTACCACTTATTGAAAAACTTTTAACACTGCCTCGCTTATTTTCAAGTTTCCTCTCTTGGCCTCCATATGTTCTTTTTCTGCATTTTTTTAGCAAGCTTTATCCTTTTTTCCGCACACTTTGCAAAAGCCAGGGGTCTTCAAGGAAACAGCCACTCTACTGTTTGGGGTAAAAGTCAGGTCTGTGTACATCTCACCTTTCCAACGCCACCTTTAAGTGGGATATATTGAGCTTGTTTGGTTCGGTTGGTTGTGTTTAGAGTACTATATTGTGCCCACTAACGCCGCGACTAACGTCGTGTATATGTGCCCACTAGCGCCGCGACTTGTCTTTAGGAAGTGAAATGCCTTGTTTGTAGGTTAGGTTACGCTTTAACTCTCTTGTCCCAAATAAATGAGCCTTCTTTCCCAGCACTTTACCACCAGCCTTAATCCAACAAAGAATCAAGAAGATTGGAATCAAGGGAAGCAGATCCAGTCATCAATGTCTGCCTATCTGAGAGATTCTCCTCATGGCTATTTATTATCATCTACCTAAGACGGTATTTGACCTGAAACTATGATTATTTATCATAGTCAGAAGTGACAGATCACTTGCAAATGATTTTCATCAAAGATTCAAACTAACCATTCATTTTTCCCCACCACACATATCGGAAGAATGCATGCAGAGAATACCATTTGTGTGTATGATGCCAACTGATAGCTCAGTTCAACAACACACCATTTGAACTACCAAGGCCAATGGTGATGAGACTGTGAGAATAAACTTTGAAATTACATATAGTAATTGCAGTAGTTTTATGTTTAACAACCTGAAGAAAAATAAGTCCGAAAAGAAAGGACTGACAGTGTCATTTGAAGATCAGAGAGCTATTGCTATTGGGAACTTTTTTGGGGACAAAAGGTAGACATTAACTATGCTCACTCATTTGGGGACGAAGGAGTATTGATAATAATTACCACCCACATCATAAGTTAATGTTATTGCTGGATAGCTACATTATAACAGCTAATCAACATATGACAACTCGATTGATCTTCATATTTAAATACCACATAGTTCATATTCAACCATGTCGCATGGGCATGTCATACCAGCACATGAAACTACTCGATGTACCATTATTTACTTGTCAATAGAGCAAAATGTAATCCTACCTCCACCTCACCCTTCCCTCCTAAAAAGGCTACTCAAGCGATGTTTTGTGAAGATATGTCTAAAAATATTACTCTCAAGAAGCATACATTTAGCATTTCTAACACTCAACTGACTCAAGTTGGAGCACATATATCATTCATGCCCTACTTGTCTCAACTGCCAGGTATTTTGATTATTTGAAATGTGCCTGCAGCCTTCATTATTAATGTACATCTGTATCAATCTGGAAGTAGACTCTCATGTCTCGTAACAAGCACCACATCCATGTTATTGACAAGTAATCCTTGTCATGGCTCAATATTCTAACTGCTCACAGAAAATAGAGGCATCCTGTTTTTTGCTGTTTCAGGATCAATTGCCCCATTAAACACATGAAAGACTCGCGTCTCGATAACTTAGGGCTTGAGTGCTCCATTATATATATACAAAAAAAGCCTCATCCTGAAGCATTTTTAGGATATCTCGTATCTTTGACACAACATCCCACAAAAGTATGAGAAGAAGATAAGACCCGAATAACCTCACTGAGCAGACAAAATGAGGCCTAGTAACACACTAACACTTAGATGGCAGTTGGTAGTTGGTACAGCTTCCAAACAAGATTCCTGATCTCCCTCAGTTGCAAGTCACCATCATCCCAGATAAAGTTTGGATTAGAAATCTTTGTAGATCTATTGTCCACCCATGCATCTGCTACGACATCAAGAACATACTTTCTCTAACAAGAGAATGTGCCCTTACAAAGAGTAGACTACCTCTCGCTTTAGAAATTGCTCAAGATAGTAAGGTCTTATGAAATTTTTGTTTTCAAAACTAAAACACATTACAGGTGAAAACATAAAACAAAGGAAGCTCTCAAATAATTAATCCTGTCCAAAAGCACCTTAAGAAGTGAATCAGCTTTGTAATAAATAACTAAAAAAATAACCCTAGAAAAAAATTAAGCCAAGATTAGTACCATCAAGAAACTTGTTTGTTATATTGGTGAAAACCCTTGAAACTTCAACTCTTAAGGAGTATTCGACAACCTTGTGAATGACATGATGGCAGAAGAATAAGCATGAGAAAACACAATGAGGCAACAAAGTAGGTCCTACCTAGTAGCATACCATGTCAACACAAGATAGCAAAGGCTAAGATTGTCACAGTGGCAAAGAATGTAGCTGATTGCTATGTCATGATCCATCTCAGCAACGGCATCGTCGGGCAACTGTCATAGGGTGAGGCACCTAACATGTAGAGACAATAGGTAGGGATGATGGTAGGGAGCCATAGTGGTTGCTGTTAGAGGTTATGGTTTGTATCTAACCTCATAGCTCTAATATCGTATATACAGGAGAAGCATAGTTTCACTAGACAAACTGAAAAAATATTATACAATAGTGTGCCATGGCCCATGGGATGAATAAACAAAAACCCAAACGTGAACATAAATATACTTTTTAAGTTTCCAGCAATATGCTTGAAATCAATTTCAACATTATTTTTCTCATGTTGGTGGCTGCTACCATGCTCCGGTCTCTCTTTCTATTTCCTACCATTTATCTTCTTCCCCCACCATGACAGTGACGTCATTTCAGAAAGGCTCCAGTCTCCAGCAGAGCATACAAAGAGAATCCTAATGGAAGGTCAACCACAATTCCTTTTTTTTTTTTTTTTTTTGGGGGGGGGTTTCAAACTCCTAAGGGATGAGAGCTATTCATGGATGATTAGTCAAGGGGAGTATCCTAAACTTTTTAATTTCTAAACCCCAAGTGTCGTCGTTGATTAGAAATGAATGTCCAATACTTCCTTGATATCTCTTAGACACAGATTTTATAAATACTTGATGAGATTAAAGAACATATACCTAAGGTATCCTGCGTTAAGGAAACATACCAATTGAACAAGAATCAATCAAACACATCATAACCATGCTCAAATCAACAAAAAGGAGCTAAGGGAACAGAATAATACGTAAGTGTTAAGCTGCCGAACGAAGCTGGAGAAGTTGTTGTGTTTAAAATATTTTGGCAAGAGGTCTCTAGCAAATTCGGGAGGATCCCGCACGATGAAGCTGTTATTAGTAGCACTCCAAGAAACAATCATATCTGTAGAAGGATCATCCACCATATCGTATGTCTTCACTAAGAACGGTGGAGGAGCATTCACAGTCGGCATCGGAGCAGGGGAGTTAGAAAGCAGACCACCACCACCACCGTCTGCTGCGGCAGCGGCACCATTATTGCTGCTACCAGATTCCATGGCAACAAATATGGGGCTTTAATTAGGGGTCAGGAGCGCCATTGATGCAATTTTAAACCCTGGAATAGATATATGGAAAGACAATTTTGTGTACCAGTTTGGGGTTTTGAGAAGTTAGAAGACGAACGGTAGACACATGGACGAACTTGTTTTCTAATTGAGTAATTTACAACTTTAGTCCCTGAACTTACAGTATACCTGCAGGTTTAGTCCATTAACTTTTTTAATTATAATCCTTACTTTACGCTTTGAGCAAGAAGCACATTAATGAACGTCAACAATTCATCTATTAAAAATTTAACATGAATTGAAATTTTGTTTTTTCACCCTTATATCTAGTGGTGTTCATTGATTGAGTTGATCGGGTTGAAAACATTTATACAATTCAATCCAATGCTTATAGTTTGAAAAATCTTAACCCAACCCAAATCATACTGGTTGGTCAGGTTGATACTTTAATACATTAAAATATTCTTCTAACCTCGAATATGTTATTTTTCTACTCATAATTTCGTTTTCATCATCAACCATTTAATACAACTTATCCATACTTTTTATGTATATCACGTTTAGTTAATTTTCTCAATTTACATATATATGTTCACAGTTACTGAACATATATACGAATGAGTTATATAGAGATGTGAATAGATCGAAAATATGTGTATATGAAGAGCCTACGTGATAGTGTAATTGTCTAATGCATATATTAATATAAATTCAACAATCATATAAAATTCACGAAATAAAAGGATATCGGGTTCATCGGGTTGAGTTAGGTTCAAATAATAGTAACCAAATACCTACAGTTTAAAATTTTTACAACTCAATTACACATGGTGTTGGATTGGATTGGGTTAATCGGGTTTTGAGCACCCCTACTCATATATATCCTTTTAAGATCACTTGTTGATTAGGCAAGAGAACAAATATTACTTTACTCCATTTTAAAATTGTAAATGTATGTATGGACAAAACAAATAATATTTAATACAGTTGGTTTAAGATCTTGTATACAGTCTATTAGTCAATGCTCTTTAAGCAATACATTTGAACTCCACGTATGGTCTCTTTCTACCATGTGATACTTGAAAATTGAGGAGGTCGTGATGAGGGCAACGACCCAAGTCATATTGTCTTATCAACTTTGGTTAAAATATATTTAGAGTATGATTAAAGTGAAGCAGTTGAATACTTATTACCGGTGCATGTCTTTATATACAAGTTGATAATCAATAATATGTACATATTTGATGCATCAATCTTCAACTCAAGTTTTACATAAACACAAATAATGTTAATCGGAACAAAAAAGAAATTGAGCATGAATGGTTGCGATCGAGAGTAGTTTTTTGACACTTATATAAGCGTTTCATGGTTCGTCAATTAGTGGAACACATTATTTCATTTTTAGAATTTTGCTATTGGGTAGGGCTGTTCATCGTTGACATTCGTGACATGTAAGGGAATCCGAACCGATCCAATCATCAATTGAATGTTGGATTTTACCAACCGATCAAATCCGATTAATATTGGACAACCCGTTCCATCCATTGGATATCCGTCATATACTTTTACTGGATATCCATTGGATCGGATTCCATCCGACATCCGATGGATGATCATATCGGACCAGGTCCATCTAATGTGTTAATTTAATCCAATTTTTCAATTCATTTTTAACATGTGTTGAGACCAACACAATTGAGACTAAAAAGTCAAAAACCAACACAAAACAAATTCAGGTTTAAGTAAATTGAAACAAATTAATTAGATGAAAGTTGGATGGTTAATTGGATATTGGTCGATTTGGTCGATTTTGGTCGGTTCTTGGATGTACTGATCCAAAGTGGATGTTGAAATTTTCAATCAAATCCAGTCCAGTTATGGTTAGTCGGTTTCAATTGGATCGGTTGATTTTCTGCACACCGTTACTATTCGGACCGTTTACTCAAACGTTTACTTGGTAAACGCTTACCTATAAAAGTCAACATTTTCATTTAACTTACTGAGTAAAATTATAGTCTATTAAAATAGCATTGTATGCAACATTTCCATCCGATAAGCATTTAACGTGTAAGAGTCGCCACTCTCACTTACCAGGTAAAACTATAGGTCTTTGTCGTTGTTCTTACCAAGTAAAATTCTCAATTTTTTCCATATTCATCCGATAATATAAAGTGACCCGATAAACACTTACAAGGTAAACGTTTAAAAAACGGTGACTAATTCTAATGTTTTATGTTAAAAAAATTTCAATGCTTAATAACATCGATTTATCTCATGTTTTAAAGTGCTTTAAAAAAGGGAGCAAAATAAATATGAATCAACACGTTCTAGAAACAATGCCCAAAAAATAATTTTATTTAATAATAATAAATCAAATATATTTTAGTTGTTTTCAAGAAAATAGATTTTTGGGGAAAATTTAATGATAAAATAACAAAAAAGTAATGGATTTCATTCGATGATGGAAATTTGAGTTTCTATGCTTTATGAAGTCATTTATATCAAAAACGGTCGGAATACACACAATGTTATCCTCATTTGTAGAGTACTAGAAGGGTATCGCACAATGCAGCAATATATATCTTGATTTTAATGTTTTGTGGCTTTTTGTTTCAGTCGATGTTATAATACGATTTTATATAGTTTTGAGAAAACGATAATGTTTTTGTTTTTAAATAAGACTAGCGCGCAATGCAGCGAGATACATCGTGATTTTAATATTTCATTTTATTATTTATCTCAATCGATGTTATAATATGGCTTTATGTGATTTTGAGAAAACGATGATGTCTTTATTTTTGAATAAAATATATGTTTGAAGATATCATAAAAATTTGACAAAAATATATCGATATTAGTATAAAATTAACTATTT